ATAAATGCAATCTGAAGAAATCACTTTAAGATTTAAAACTGTAATATTATGTCAGATTATAGATGTCAATCGAACAACATTTGTATATTTAAGTTCTGGAAACCTCAAAAAAAAAATCTATGTATTTTTAAATTAAAAAGTAATACTTTATAGTTATTATTTCAAAATAATGTCTCTTTAAATTATTACTATTTTTTGTCTCTATTTTTATAACCACTAGTTCTACTTTCAATAAGTTTTGCGCTATTCATTTATACGTTATTTCGTAACGCATTTAAACTAATAGCGTAATATGCAAATTACCTACTCCACAGTAAAAGATTATCTTACCATTCCCACACTTTTAAATAGCTATGTGTAGCTAAGGTTCCGTCACAGGGGGTTCCAGAAACAAGGTTTATTAAGTAGTTTGTATCAAAATAAAGATTCGTTTAATAACATAGACTAAAAACTATTCATTGTTTTTAAAATTAAGTTTTTAAAATTAGTTTATCTATAAAAATATCTCCTTTTCCTGTTAATGGAACTTAAAGCTTTGTTACTTTCAGCAACAATATGGTTCTGTTTTTCATTAATTTTACGAAATAAGTATACCGAAATTCATTGAGATTTGTCTATTGTGTCAAAAAGTTTGTATCATTCCTTAAAGACTTCTAAAAGCGATGTTAATATATGTTATAAATATATTACAGTTAACAAGTCGATAACTCATTTTAATTTTTGTGAACAGCTACATTATACCTTCAATATGCATGCCTATAATATGTCAGCGTCATCGCCGAAATCCTATACGTGAAGCGTTCTAATGAATACCGTTTGCATAAAATATTAGGCCATTACCGGTGGGGTCATTCTCGCCACAGGGTTAGGCCTGACAGATGTGGAGCTGAATCGCTTAGCCGACGGAGTTGACGCGTAAATACGCCACCTTAATCGTACGAGCGATGAGTATTTCTGTAATTAAATAGTTACAGAGCATTTCAGTAATCGGCGAAATTAACGAGAAACAGGAAAAGGAGAATGGTAAACATGACGCCTTATCTAAGTAAGCCGTTGTACCAGACTTCGAACCAGGTCGCATTTGAATTGGAATAATATGAGAGAAGATCTCAATAATAGTATTTATTTATATGCACTGAGTACTTGAATGTTTTGGACAAATGAAAGGACATTTGTTGATAAAAGGTGGAGAGTTACAGTTACTCAAGTAATTAACTGAAACTGTGATTATGACCAGATTTAATAAAACATCATCAAATAGCAATTTATATTCCAATTCAAGGAGTGCCTGACGAAGACAGATGTTTTCTCTAGCGAAAGAAAAGTTAGAGCAATAAGAAAATGCCTTTTTTCATAATGCCAAATTGGCTGAGGACAATCGGGGAGGAGTGACGACCCACCCAAGTGATTGCTTGTGAATGGCGAGAGTGATTCGGATGATGCGAATGGAAAAGTTATTCGGACTCTTTTGTTGTTCAGAATTTCAAGATTTCATTTTTAAATTTGGTAAAAATATTAATATACTGTAACATTTATGTGTGATTTTATTCTGAAAAAATAGCATTGTCATCGTGCTATCCTATTCTATACTAAGAATGGCAAAGGAAACCCATTCGGTCAGACATTTAATACAAAATCTATATTTCTACACAAGAGACTTATTCTCCAAAAAAGTTAATATTTATCCTAAAAACATGACTAATTGATGTCCACTTAATAGCAAATCCAAGAGATGGGGATTGGTCCAAATCAAGTTACATAAGGTTTATTTGGCAAACACATTAGTTGAAATCCCTAATGACCCAAATTACTCCGACATTATGGAAGTTTGCAACTAATCCGATGGGAGAGGTCGCCGTAAAACTTATCTGAGTATTAGTAAAGAGAGCATTTAAATATCTTTGTTCACATTGTACCAATAATTATGCCAGAAAGCAAATTTTCTTTAACGTTTATTGTCTCAGTTAAAACTTGTACTACAATTAGCAAAAAAATAATATTGTTTATGTGTAGCTCTATATATATTTAAAGCACAAGAAAACACAACGATACACATTTCTATAATATCTCTATACGACGTTAACAAGCACTCCACCAAGAAGAGTGTCATTAAAATATTTTGATATGTCTTGTCTAACTAAAGAACCCTTAATGCGATTCGTTGACTAAAAGCATCTACTAAGTATAGTGGATCAAAATGTGTCTATTCAAAATCCCCGTGACCTACTTAAGCTTAAGCATCTATCAACGTAATCTTCGTTCCTGAATGACGTTTTCACTCAGGACATCACAAGAAAAATTCGGGGCGGGTTCTCAAATAATGCCATCCATCAGAGGATTCGAAAGGGGCGATGACCCTCGTCCCCCAATTACCATCTTTAGCTTTCAATTTACCTCTTTGTGGTAACGATGAAAAAGGACAACCGATAAAATTGAGGAATTTGAAGATGATGATGCTTCTGGGTGGCGGTAATGCCGTTCATTATAACTTGTGAGAAACGTGAGGAAACGAAATTGCCTGCGAATAAAAGGATAAGCTTTGTGTTTTCTTATAAAAAAATATTATTCAATGATACTACTATTTGAATGATTTAAGATCGCAGTTCAATAAACACGTAGCTTATAAAAGAAGTTAAAAATTAAATGAACATCTTTTCATTTAATTTTTAACTTCTTGATTCATGATTGGCAAACTGATTTCTTATTAAGAATTACCCTTGAAAATTTTAAATACTTTCCAATAACTTTTACAATAGTTTATGATCGATTGAGTGTACTGAGGACATCCTGACATTCTGATGGATTTTATAGGGTTCGTATCTTTGTGTATTTATTTTTCTTTGTCATTATTACATTAAAACTAAAAGTATCACTAAAAGTAGTACTTTGTTAATGACTATAGATATATATTGTGCAATACATTGTTTGTATCCCTAAATAAATAAATAAATAAATATGGGTTTATTATTTAGTAGGAAATCTTAGATACTTAGCATTAAGACACGTGTAGCTAAACTATAATACTAAGCATATTTTACAATATAAAATGCTTATATTTTATTGATGGTACAATGTTTTAACATCGTTGTAAATTTTAGCGATACCGTGCTGTTTTACATACGTTCAACTCCATTAAATAAACATCTAAACTATTGTTTCCTCATGTGATACAAAAATTTCAAATACAATGTACATCCTTCGGAAAGGTCTCCGAGCTTGGGAACAAAAAGGGACCGACGTCGAGGCTAAAGTAACAATGTTAGCTACTAATTACCATCTCTATGGTGATTAAGAACTCTTTTGTTTCTATAAAAAAACATTTTGTTCGACCCTCGACCTCGTAAACCGGCAAAAGATACGACTTCATTAAAAACAAAAAACGATCGTCAATTGTTCGAAAAAGTTTAAGAACTTTTAATGATTACTTTTAAAAGATTAAAAAGGTTTGTGTTGGATATTAAATAGATTATTTTTTAAAAGAATACGGTTATTTATAAATTGAACTCTGAGATAAAACACTGGATTCTATTTTATTAATATGATTTGTAACATATTATGAAAATGTTATAAATATACATACGTAGTGATGTATAAATTATTATATATAAAATTATCATATAGTATGTGCATTTTATAAAGATAATAGCGGAGTAAAAAAACTATGAATATGCCATTGAACTTTATCTAACATAAAAACTGTACGTAATGAAGTTATAATTCGGGATTCTGCCTGCCGAATTAAAACTTCAAAGATGTTGTTTCTTTCATGAGATCACCGTTAAATGCTCTGATTCATGAATTAATATACGTGTTGCGTCATAACTTGCTACAAATTTTACGATGAACAGCTAAATATTAATTGTGAGTAAGAACAATGGCAAAAGATTCGATTCCCATGAGATTGGCAGTGTTCTGGGAGTATTTATTAAATTGACAAGTGGTTAAGGTCTGGAATACGGAGGGTAAACTTTCACGAGGACCTGCAGTCTTTAAGACCTGCTGCAAATCTGACGGAAGATCTCACAAGAGTCTCATGGAAGTATGATTTAGTACGCGACGGATATATTTGTAATATAATGTCAGTTCTGACATTTAGACCGATAATAATTACACTACGCATTTTCCATCAAATATGTACCAACCCTTAAACATTAGCACTCCGCACTGGTTTACTTTGGTTTACTGAAGAAGTTAGAGTTAGATATCGCGTTGTGTTTTTATTTTCAGCAAAACCGTTTGTCATAGTTGCTAAATAGTTATTTACTAATGATTATAGCAGCACATCAGGTTACCATAATATGTATGTACGATTTCTGCAGTTAATTTTAAAGTTTACTTCCAAAATAATTTAGTTCTAAATTTTACGAGAGGAACTGGACTGAAACTCATAAATTCAATGTTCATTTCCTAATCATATCTTAAATTGAATGTAATAACAAAGTCGATAGTGGACATATTTTCTATAAAATGGCAGAACTCAGAATATGAGCTTAACGCCTATTCGTGAGAAGCTTTGTGACGCCTCATTCGTCGTGAAGTCTCGAGTATTACATAAAATACCAGACCTCGACTATAGATCTTTGTAGCTGTAAATGTTTCCTATATCGCAGTTTTATAGACGTAGGGCGTGACTGATGAATGTTTTATTGTTGTTTTGCCAACATTGTTTCGACTATTATCTATTTCATTAATTTGATTGAGGTCTTTCAATAACATTGGCGGTAGCTTGTAATATTCATAGGACTGGTTAAAGAGTAAATTTGTAAGCAATGTTTTTTTATCATTTTAAACATAAGAAGATAACAAAGAATTATCGAGGTCATTCTGTGTCCTTGTGTGTTTTCAACCAATTAAAATAAACTGAATTTTCGAACACGAATTTCATGTATTCTATTATATATAACAAACGTTTTCATTGTTTGCATTGAATAGGTTCCAAAACTACCATTATCATTCTTATTAAGATATCCCCAAAGTCATGTTTTCTTTTCTCTTACCAGGAGCACATCAACTTGGTTGGGTTTGACGAAAATCTGGGCCCAGTGGTGATGTCATTAAAGAACGAGCATGTGGCCGGCCAAGATCATACGAGGATACTCCTGAGGCTACGTACGGAGACTATGCATGGGCTAATACCAACAGCAAGTGAGTTTCACTTTCACACTTTTTAACTATTAATTAACTTTTAGTTGTTGCCACAAATTATGTCAATTTAAATAAAACTATGTCCACAAATTATTGGTCATCATCACCAGCCCTTTTACGTCCCCACTGCAGGGGCTCAGGCCTTCCTTATGGATGGTTAAGGAGGATGGGCCATGACCCTCCACGCTGGCCCAATGCGGATTGGAGGGTATTAACGACTGCAAATGCAGCCGGGACCAACGGCTTAACGTGCCTTCCGAAGCACGGAGTATCTCGAGATAATAATTTTTTGGTCACCCATCCCGTGACCGACCCTTGCGAAAGTTGCTTAACGACTACAATCACGGGCCGCGGCGCTAATCCACTTCGCCACCGAGCTACTAAATTATTGGTGCCTCTGAGCATTTAATAATAATAATAGATAAATAGCATCACGTTTAGTAGAAATAATGTTATCACAGAAAAATTGGAAAAGGAAGAAGGTGGAAGAGTCTTACAGTTATCAATAAGTATGTATGTTTATAGGATCAAGCATAATGCCGTCGCCTCTGAAAATGGCCAAGATGCTCAACGAACAAGTGAATGTCGATAACTTTATGGCAGTGATGTGTTTAAATGCATCACAATTGATTGCTACGTACGATGAGCATGTACTCGTAAACAGCTTCAAGTTCGGCGTTCTTTACCAGAAGTATGGTCAGACAACAGAAGAGGAACTATTCGGGAACAATGAGACATCGCCTGCTTTCGATGAGTTTTTAGAAATGCTTGGACAAAGGATTAAGCTTAAAGATCATAAAGGTGCGTAACATATTTGTAATCAGATACATTTAAAAATTAGTAACATAGAAGATATTTTATGATTGAAAATATATATAGCAATAGTCTAAATAGGTATAGCACTTTCTTTAAAAATATTTTCATTAAAGTTCATTTGTAATGTCACATCACAAATGAACACATCGAAAGAAGATTAATAACTGCACGCCATTTTAAACCATACATGGTTCCATAAGAGTTCAAAGAAGACCTGACCTTTTAATCCCAAGTTACAATTAAATAATTACAGGCTACAGAGGAGGACTAGACATAATGAACGGTCACACCGGTACAGAGGCGGTATACGAGCAGTATTACAATAGAGAGATCATGTTCCACGTGGCTCCACTGTTACCTCACACGGCTGGCGACGCACAACAACTGCAGAGGAAACGGCATGTTGGCAACGACATCGTGGCAATTGTTTTTCAGGTTAGTTTCAAAAATAATGTGCTAAACTACATAATCTTAAAACTATAAAATTATTTTATATATCTGGTGTTTTCTTTCTTGATCCATCTTTAATATAGGTAATAGTTTCCAATTCTTTTTTGTAAGTACTAACTATGTTCTCTTAGCTTTGCGCTTTGAAGTTTCAATTAACTAATTGCATCACAAATAAACGTAAATCAGAATAAGAAGTTCTTCTGAATTTTCACATTATATTAGTAAAGATAAACTGTACGGCCTTCATCATTAACTAAAAGTACCTATTCTTTGAAATTTCAGGAGAAAGCAACCCCCTTTACGCCAGACATGATCGCTTCGCATTTCCTCCACGCCTTCATCGTCGTAACGCCCGTAGACGCTGCTGGTGGGGAGACCAGGTAATATTTAGAACCTTCACTATCAATGAATGATTAAATAGCTACACTTAATCTTACAAAGTATCGATACTACAGTATAAATATTTTTATGATCGTGATGATAATTGTTCTTTTCTCCGATGAATGATCTTATTTTGGCTTTATTAAATTTCTCCGGGCAAAACTTGTCCATTTCTAATGTCCCTAATTTCTTTATTTCATCTAAAAATAATTAATTGTAAGATAACTTTAACGTTTTAAAAGGTACAATGAACTGTTACCAGATAACTTTCCAGTTTTTAAATTTTAAATAAGAGCCTCACTTTAATTGTTGTTAGCTAGACTGTCGTTTCGTATTACTTCTTTTACACCAAGTTAACACAAAGTTTCTATTACTTTGCAACACTCGAGGTATTATTTGCATAGAACAGTAAAGAAAATGACTCGGAAAGTGGAATGGAAAATGTAGTAATTTATATGCAAATGTATACTTTTATAATTGCAAAGGTTATTAACTTAGCATTAAAATAAACTCGTCGCCTTTATGGTGTCTCTAGTCTAATTTAAAATTAGTAAATAATATCCGAAACTACAGTGTTTGTTTATTTATGTTTTTAGTAATTTTGGAAATTAATTTAGCAGGTATATTAAAACACACACGTTATAATAGCTGTCGTAACACGAACTGTAGCGGTATATGATAATTATAAACATTCATTTTATGAATCGAACCCAAAAAATATTGCGGGTTTCTTATATTATGTTTAGATTTTTGCCATTTTCATTTTTAGTTTATATCCGAAAGTGTTACTTATATCTATACGAATAATGTTCAATTTACAGGTACAAAGTGGCCGTCACCGCTAGAGTGGACGTACCATTTTTCGGGCCGACTCTCCCTCAACCGCCGATATTCCGTAAAGGGCGCGAACTGAAGGAGTTCCTTCTGACGAAACTGATCAATGCCGAGAACGCATGTTACAAAGCTGAAAAATTTGCGCAGCTCGAGTTACGAACACGTTCCTCTTTGCTCATGAATTTAGCTGAGGAGTTGAAAAATAAAACTGTCGAGTTTCTCGGTACCGGTACAAGAGTGGAACCGGGCGCTGTGTCACCGCAGCCGGAGGGTACACCGAAACAAGACGGGCCGGGAGCACGATTCATTGATACCGTTAAGAAGGCACTTATTTCTAAAGTGAGGTTAGAAGAGAATATTTCCCTTTATTTTATAAAATCCCTTTCATTAGAGATCATGAGAAATAATTAGTGAATTATATATACCTTTTGCAATATTTTTCGATAACATAAACCGTTAATTTACTTTTCAGGTCACCGAGCGTAGACACCAACCTCTCTAGTGACAGCAATAAGAATGTTCTCAACAAAAATAAAGTTTCAGCTTATGAAAGCCACACTCCAAATGTAAGTAAATACAGCATTATTTTTATCTTGGTCATAACATAACAGGGATGGGTTGTCGACGCTTTTTCGATCAACGAAACGAGATTGTTTATCATTTACCGTAAAATAGTTTTTTTTTATCTAGTTTATGTCATTACGGACTAAAAGGAATACTAAATGAATGAACCCCATAAAATAGAAATAGACACGAACATAAATTTAAAGTACTATAGCGGCCTTATCGCTAAGAAGCAATTTCTTCCAGGCAACCGTATATTGAACTGGACTGATTAAAATAAGATAAGCGGGGAAGTATTGGTGTATTACAAAGCAAGTAAAATAAAATGACTATTACGTAGAGAAAGAAATACTTATATACATACTAAACAATACACACACACACATCACTTTATGCATATATACACATACCTAAAAAACAAACATTATATAAAAACTCATAATACAACCTTGATCAGGATTTATGTAATAAATGAGAAATCAAGTAGTGCTATTTAATAAAAAAGTTTTTAAAACATCAGAGATTGCGCGCGTTTTATCTCAACTGGAAAAGCGTTCCATAGACGAACTGCCTGAACAGTGAAAGATTTATCATAAAATCCAGTGGAGTGCTTTGGCATATCCAGCCTTAACTTCTCTGATGATCTCAAAGTACAGGCGTGCTTGTCTTTATTGAAAACGTTCCTTTAAATAACATGATCATATTTTGCGAAGGCCAAATATGAATCTTATACAAAAGTTGTGAAGACACTCCAGCTTATTTAGATGCTCTTTATTGAGTCGAATTGTGACGAAGTAACTAAAAAAGACAGGAATAAATTGTTTAGACAACTTTGTTGTCTTCGATCTGTGATAACGGTTCACTAAATTTGTGGACGGTGAAAATAAACTTCCTTTCATACTTTTCTCATTCTTGTTATTGTGAAAGTTCAGAATTGTTTATTTACAAATACATAATCTACAAATTAAAATAGTTATTTGCTTTTATTCACCAAATTATTCAAACTGATGATAGATAACACAATCGAAGAAAATTAAAAAGTAGAATGCTACTTGCATAATTTAACCTTGAACTACACCATCTGCATTAGAATAAAAAATATTGCAAATTTCAAATGTGTATTTGTCCCAGAAATGGAACGTACTAGCAACTCTATACAAACTTTAATGTAAGGACGTTAAAGTTTATTCTTAAAATGTTTTTAACGTAATTGGGCGAGCGAGACAGACAGCACGCTATTGGTCGCGAAGAACAGAGAGAAATATAATCTTCCTTTCATACTTTTCATATAAAGAAATATAACAGACGATTCGTGCCGCGATGGACTGTTAAGCAACGCTTGTAACTTATGTTCTCGCATAAACTAGTTTATCAGTAGACCGTAAACCAGTCTCTCAGTTGATACCCAAAAAACAGTGTAAAACACGGTTCGTTTATTGAACGCCCATGCCTACAGTATATAGTAAAAAATAATAGAAGATAAAACAGTATTGGAAATGTAGAAGCATTCGTGAAAGATTGGCGTTTAGTTTTTCTTTTAGTTCATTCTGGAAGTTATAAGCTGTTACAATACTAATAAAAAATTGCTTGGAAATTGTAAAAAAATTGTTCGTTGCTTAGTACCAAATATAAATGCAAAATAAGAGTAACCAAGGTTGTTGTATTAGAGCGGACGGTCCAAGTCGTCAATACCGTCTTCGTCAGCGAGTGCGGTGTCTGTGCGATCAGCGGGCGGCTCTGGGGAGTCGAGCCCCGACGTAACGTCACGGGTTGCTCAACCGCGGCCCCCGCTACACGACCACAGCGATGACTCCAGTCTCAACTCCGTCGACTTGGACCCACTCGGTAAGGACTTCGGTATTCAAATACTTTATTAAATATTTAACCAATCAACTTTTAAAAAGGTTTGTGCGAACACAATTTTCGGACGCTATTCTCATAGAGAGTTACAGTGTTTCGAAAATTAGTTTTCAATTTGTACTCTGAAAACCAAACTTCTATATATCGTCAACTTCATCAATCCTACCAAAAGTTGGTTTATTAATGAGTCGTGTTAATATAAAAAAAAAATTAGATGCATTTAACATACAAATCGTCTTATGTGGCGCCAACTGTTCTTACCCCAATCAATAATACTGATTTGAAAAATTAACGTTCAATCGTATAGTAACCAACATAGACGATTATTACTCCGTAATCCTTGAATCTGGTTTCTATTAGGTACTACAACTTAATGAGAAATATGCATATTCTTTCATCGAAAACATTTTCCCCCTGCAATTATACTCATGATCTTTGTTTTAACCGCTCTTAGCTCCACTATGATCACCTTGGAACTAACAGTCAATATTGAAAATTTCATCTTTAATGGTCTTGTGTTATGTTATGTATTTATGATACCTAACTTCTCTTTGTTAATGAATAGCATATATATGAATGGCATATGAGTCGTATCATTTTCATATGTAGCATTTGAAACAAAGCTTTCCTTATCATCATGACAGATGCTTGATTTTATTTTATTTATTTTTATTGAGGTTAGATCATTTAACAATTTTTAAAATACCAACTTTGACTGGAAGGTTAGAAAAATAGTTTTTGTTATTGAATTAAATTTTTTCTGTCCAATTAGACGACAAGGACTGGCTGAGTTGTGGTAAAAGTGCAACAGGTTAGTCCGGTACATACAATCGGTGTTTAGAAACAGTAGAACAGAATGTAGTTGAATATTCATAAAAGCATGTGCTGGTAGTTTTTATGTGTTTTTTAATTCACCTATTTCGTCATTTGTAAAGTTCGTAGAATAATTAGAGTGGTATATGTGTACCTGTAAATATGAAAAAGGTTCCCTATGTAATTAAAATAAAAACTTAATGCTTCGACTCAAAATTATGTAAGAAATAGAAGGATCAGAAAATGTTCCTAAAAGGTTTTTCACATGGATTTAAACTAGAATTCAGATTTTCTGGTGTCACAAGATCTAATCATCTCTGAGAACATAGAAAATTGTTGGTCTTTATTATTTTTGGTCTGCGCAATTGTGGTATTTCCTTTTAAATTTCTTTGATTAAAATATTTTTATTAAAGAGAGTTATCTTAATGTTTCTCAGGATTTAAGTATCTATTAATTCATTATAGGTGCAGTGTACGTGGACAGTGATACAGGGTTAGAGTCGATGTCGTCAGCGGAAGCCGGCGCGAACACACGAGGGGAGCCGCTCGCAATTCCGAGAGCGGATGCGGACCAACTAAGGCAAGAAGTATGCCGTTTGAAGAATGATAAATTGGACTTATTGAAACAAAATATTGTAAGTATAACATCTGATTAATCAATATCTTTAACATTTAAAGATAACATTAGTGCTCTAATTTTGCCTTGTTAGACATATGTAAACATAAATTGTACTGTGCCGTTAAATGTTAAGAAAATTAAAAAAGATATGGTAATATTGAAAGACACTTATTCCTTATCTATGACAATAATAGTCGTCATTTGATAAAATGTTGCATATTTTTGGATGAATTTCGCAGTACGTTACATTTCGTTTCAGACGTGGCAGAACGAAATAAAATGTTTGCGTGAAAGAGAGATGGCCTTACAAGCGGAGTTGGCAGTCGCGGCTAGAGAAGTTAGGCGTCTCCGTGAACAACAGGCGGCCGGCACCACCATACCGCCACCGTCGTCACATGACTCATCAGCTTAAACATACACCATACTGCATTGTAATAGAGTCGCTCCTTGTCTGAACTTAAAGTAATTGATGTTCTATAAATGTCGAAATCGTTAAGAGCTATTTTCTATGCACTTTTTCAATCAAACGGTCTTCAAACTGGTCTGTATCAAATTTGTCTGCTACATAATGCTAGAGTAGATCTGAAGAGCGTAAATAAGAAAGGCTGATTTTCTATCGGAGACGCGAAAGGGAATTTTGTTAGAGGAATAATTATATTAAAAGATTTCGGAAACAAAATGTTGTATAATTATGTAGAGAATCTTTATAATAATATTGCAGTGTAGCTCTCTAAGTGTGAATTTTCTTACTACAATAGTAGAATATTTTTCTACGTTCTTAATTTGAAACTTCTGCTCAGATTAACTTTAGTCAATAATAGGTACTCTATCTTTTAAGAAACAGGGAGAAAAGAACGTAATATTTTATTTGTGCAATACCTTTGTTTTCGAAACGTTAATATTGTCCGGTCACATGCTTTATAAAAAATAGCAAAGGAAAGTCTTTGCATGCATTGTCTATTTGATTAATATGACGTATTATAATTATTTTTAATAAGTGACCATTCCTATTTCTATTGAAATATTTTTTTATATATATTATCCCAGTTGCACGCTTTCGTCGCGCCTCGACTGACTTACGATACGATAAAAATAATTTAATAAGAATTTCACTAGCTTAAATTAAAAGAGGTAACTACGTAATGTTTTTGACCTTTTATAATGTCACTTTACCAAAACTAATATTTATAATAATCGAGTAAAAACTTCTCGAGACGTACTGTATCTCTTTTCAAGAATACAAAAGTCTACTATGAGCTAATCGCTTTGTAAATGTTGTGATAATGTAGACTTATAAATCAATATATTTATAGTGAAAGATAATGGTTATTTATATGTGTATTGATATATAATTATTATACGGAATCTAAACAGTCTTAGGTGGTAAACTTGTGGTGACGGAAGTCGAAGCGTCATTAAGCGTTATACGATAAAGTTTTGATACATTTCATCGGAGCGTAGCGTTGTCCTTTTGTTTATGAATAAACATAGATATTTCAGTTAAGTAAGATACAAATTGGAAATATCATTTATTGTTTTAAAACTTATATTAAAATTTTTAGACAAAATATTGTCGATGTTAGCTTTCTAGCCCTGAGAAGTTGCTGATTACACGGACCCTGTATATTACGCAAGATTTCTCGCAATTTGAAACACATCATCTTGCTATGAATTAATTCGCGTGTACTTATCATACTTAGTTGAAATTGTAACGCATGACGCATCGACTCATGTCATCGCAAAGCTTAAAACATGACTCCAACTTCTATGCGCAAAATTTTAGAGACTTTATTTAAGTTTTATAGTAAATTTTTAGTCATCCCACTTTTTTCAAATTTTGTATTCACTAGATGTGTCACAAATTATCCACCTTTATCTAAAATTGTTGATACACCATATAGTGAACCAAACAGCCTTGAACTGGCGTCATGTCGAGCTCTGAGGTGTATGTTGTTTTATCGTTTACCACGATCGCTTTCATTTAATAATTCAACCTTAACAATATTGTTTATATTGTCAGCAATATATTTACTATACTATGTACGTCGAATGTTATTACGATCGTTGTTTAGATGGGCTATTGTGCTTCAAAATCTTTAAGTGAAATACTGATATCGCAATGTTTTCTATTTTAGATTATAGAATTGTAAAACGGTACCTACCAATTAGGCCTTGAGTGTACTTTAGGAAACTTAACACTGTGGTGCATTAGAGTATATTGTATTTATCTCAATATGAAAATGATCTTTATCTATGTTATATAAATTCATTAAATAGGTAAATATTCGTTTATAATATATAGACAATTTCCCAGTATATTTAATTTAATTGTGTGTCTTCAACCGTTTCCATTTCACCGCACAGTGCAATTTCATTCGCAGTCATTTACTAAAAGAAACTATTTTAGTTTATCTTAGAAATATACAAATTTAAGTTTACCAGTTTTTGTAAATATATTAGAACTGGATCTAGGCTATTGATTAAAAACAGTATTTTTTTTCTAATTTATACTTGATTTAAGTCTCGTTCGTCGAGTTTCTTTGAGTTTGAAATATGTTATGTTGTTTATAATTAATATTTTATACCAAAGTTAACATTCCCCACTAAATAGTATAGTTTTTTTTTTATATTTACCGTAAAATTTGGAACAGTATTTGATATGTAAGGTGTTATTCGCAGTAGATTTAATCTATGGTTTTGTTAAAAATATAGTGTTATTTTCTGGTTGAAGGCTAAAAAGCCAGAGCCAAGGAATTTTTGAAAAAGGTATTTCAATATTATATACTATGTTTGACTAACCATAAGGTTGATTTTCATCTGTAAAACATCTTCGTAGTGAATGAATGGGATCTAAGTTTACATTTAGTTTCTTTATATTAAATGTAATCCGTTGGATTTTGTTCGATTGTTGATTATGAGCATGTTGATTGCAATTAACACTAACTATTGATTCGTCTTCATGTAGACTTAAACCAAATATTGCGAGCGCGGAGCGTTAGAGGAAATAGTTTATAATTTAAGAGATACTATTGAAATATATAAATAGTTAATAATACAAAACTATTGTTGTTTTATTACCCTTTAAAATATATTTTTTTACAACAATATAGCCACTTCATATATGGATTCTTTTAGTTAGCTTAACATAAATAAGTATTAATCTGAATAATAAAAGCCATACAATAATTAAAAATAGACAATAAGAATAGAATTTTGGCCAAAATTACTTGTCGGAACACTGATATTTTTTACTCAAATGGTAAACCCACTAATTGAATAAAAAGAGATCTACCTCGTATAAAAATTTTAAAAGTAGATGTTAACAAACCGTTCCGAATTGTGCTGCATGAATACAAATTGAAGTGAATAAGTAGCAAAAGAAGGAAGGGAATCATTCCTTTCCAAAAGACAAAATATTCGTAAAGTTTATTTGTATACTACATGCTAGTACTGCAATCAACAAGGAGCTTTGCCTAACATTTCCTATTTCAATTTTTTTACGAGATTTTCATACAATATTATTACTATTTTATAAACAGGAATAATGGGCAACTTTTGCCCCCTGTAATTATCACAAAAGTGATTTACTTTTAGAGTGAGTACAGTAATACTTGCTTAAATATCATTATCAGCTTATTCCGCACACTTGGGTACAGGCCTTTCTAATGGATAAATAGGGAGAACAGCCCTGCGATTCTCTAAAAATCCAGACCCGAATTCGAATTCCCTCATGTGTCCTAATTCACGTCATTTAGTATAGAAATTCTATGGCTTCCATTTTTGTATAAAAATACAAGAGAACATTGATTGATTATACGTGACTCAGATATTCTATTTCTATATAATTTCGAAACTCACTTCACTTATGCCATGAAACGTTATTACCAATTCAAGATTGAGCGGATTCCGCTTTTTATATTCGGGTTTGGATTACAAATCGCAGGAGAGTTAGGCCATCATGATCCACCATGCAGGCTCAGTGCAGATAAGTGGGTGTAAACGACTGCGGACACAGCTTAAAGTGCCTTCTGAAGGATTAAGGAGCTCAAGACAATATTTTTTTTGGTCACCCATCATATAACTAGCCCTTGTAAAATTGCTTAACCTCTGCAACGTAAACCCAACTCGTTTTGTCACTCCACTAAAGAACTTAAAAACGACTGTTTTTAATTTAACCTTTTTTCAAAAAATAATCTAAATCTACCTATTTTATGACTCAAAATCAAAATGTCTATTCATTTCAATGTAAATTTTTGTTATTTTTCCTTACAGAAACTACTTTCCTACCTACTCAAATTTTGTTTTTTGTACGGAAAGCATGATGTTGAATATATTTTATAATAATTTATAGCACAATGTTATAAATTAATGAATAAGATTTCATTTTAATAAATTTGATATAAATAAATGAAAATATTTTCTGGATGTACAGCTAGCGACATCTATTAGAATTAATATTATTTAAGTAGTCGCTGGTCATACTAGATAGCATAAGAAAAAGTATACTATTCGAGTTATAAACTCAAAGCATTGGCATGGTGGGTAATTTCAAAAGTGCATGACTGTCGTCAGATGGCAGTGATTGACATGAATAAAATTTTCTGAAAACTATAATAGTTTTCAGAAAATTATTTTGTTCCTAAAAAAATTAATAAATTTTTAATAAAAAATAAAGTTCTGAAGAAAAATTTGATTAATGCCAAGTTAACTAATAATAATATACTTTTCAATGCAGTTGCTCATAAAGCGCTATTTTTTTAATCCATTGTAAACACCGAAAGTGAGTCTTTAAACACGTGTACAATAAAAATGTACTGAAATCCTTTACTGCACACGTGCTTAAAAGTATTTTTTTTTTTTTTAATTTTATTTGGCCGAACACCAAAGAAATTTAAAAAAAAATATGAAAATATGTCAAACTTTAGAGGCAAAAGTATTTCAAGGAGTCTAGAACGAATATTTTCAAATAAAAATGTATGTCACGAAAACATGTTCAAATATCACGTTTAATTTTAACAAATAATTTTTACTTTTAATACGTACTTAATTTTATTAACCTATATATTTGTTTTATTTCCTCGCAAAAAGCATTAAAAAATGTTGTAAGAAACTTGAGCGTAAAAGGTTTTGAATTCGTGCCAATTAAAACCCTCGCTACGCTCGTGTTTTCAATTTGGCCCTTATTCGTATATCCTTACTTTCCGCACTCGTATCATAAATAATTATTACTGCACACAATAGAAAACAAGTTACGGAGAATCACACTTTGGACAAAAACAATAGTTCACAAAAAACGTCTGCTTAGCATCAGTCACTTTTAGGCAACTTATGTAGGACAAAAATAAAAACCCGGCCAAGTGCAAGTCGCAGTCGCGTACGAAGAGTTCTGTATCGGAAACGAGCAACCAAAAATGTTTGTTGTGTGGGAGCCCCCTTAAATATTTGTTTAATTTCATTTTTTTTAAATTCCTGAACCTAAAGTGACTTCCATAACCTCAGAACCTGTTTCAGATGAGGTTTTGGGTATGTAGCTCCAACTTTTGGGTAGGTTTACCTGCGCTTACCTACCGATAAAGAAATACGATCGAGCAAACTCATGATTTGGTATAAAGTTAGGTATCAATTATCCATCCATTCCAAAATAATGGGTACATAGATTAGAAGTTTAATTGTTAAGCTATTTGTTGTGCTATAGAAGAAATTGCGGACGATATATAAATACAATTTGTCAGTCCTAGAATCATTTGTACAATCATCATTTGTACCTAGAATCATTTGACAACAAGCCGCCGAGTTAACGTAGAACTGCTAAGTCTTTCCCGTTTAGGAATTCAACTAGTAAATGGCAACTGTTTAAACTACCATAATTTTAAACGGGAACTAACTAGAATTTTAGTCATAATCATTATTTTAGCCTACCGAAGAAGTCGACCCACGCGACTATTACGCCCACCCGACCTGAGTGACCCCCAAGGGGTTAACCGCGTAGTCTCGACCACACCTGTGTTTTATAGTTTAGGTACTGTTAGACCAGGCAAACTTCATATTAGATTAGAACATTTCTAGTATTTAATTTTAAGATTATGAACTGGTGTTGTGAGAAAGTGATTTTTTACACATAACAACACAACACAAAGAGTAACTCGGTGACATCCTACGATCGCTGTTATTATTGTTAAGCAACTTTCGCTAAAGTCAGTCACAGAATGAGTGACCAAAATATTATTATCTAGAACTACTCCGTGTTTCGGAAGGCATTTCAAACCGTTGGTCCGGCTGCATTTGCAGTCATTAATACTCTCCAATCTGCATTGGAACACGTCTTAATATTGATATGAGAAAGTAGTTCTACCCTCAAAAGCTCTAGACGGTTATAAGAAAATACCGGCTGTGATAAAAAATTACTATTGTTTTCTATTGTTAAAATACATTTTAAAAAGTCTTAATATTGATATGAGAAAGTAGTTCTACCCTCAAAAGCTCTAGACGGTTATAAGAAAATACCGGCTGTGATAAAAAATTACTATTGTTTTCTATTGTTAAAATACATTTTAAAAAGTCTTAATATTGATATGAGAAAGTAGTTCTACCCTCAAAAGCTCTAGACGGTTATAAGAAAATACCGGCTGTGATAAAAAATTACTATTGTTTTCTATTGTTAAAATACATTTTAAAAATTCTTCTCTTTATTTATAATCTATATATTTTTAAATTTGGTTCAATTTTGCATTAACAATGCTATAATGAAAAATATTCCTAATGAAAAATGCTTAAAAAAAACATTTTTTCCTTAGTACTCTAAGATGGGATTTTTTAAACATTTTACATTAAGAAATAATTATCTATAATATATAAAGCTTAATTTCTATATATATAAAATTGAGTCGTTATTTCCCTTTGTCACGCTATCATACGTGAAAGCCTGAACTGTTTTCGCCAATGATTTTTTTTTTGTTTTGTGGCAATTAAAATTTTTAAAAAGCTGCCAACAAAATTTAGCTTAGTATATTCAAGTCTGAGTTAAAAGAATGGCACTCGGCGAAATGTTTTTATAGCTTAAAGGAATACGTTGAATATAAATGTTGACATATTATCTTAAAATTGTGAATTATAAATACTATTATTATTGTGTTGTATATATGACATTTTCTAAATCTTACTTTTATGTTGATGAAATTGAATTCATTTAATTGACATTTGATTAATATCATGATTATTATTAGATTACAATAATTTCTTCCGCATGTCAGTTTCTAGTAAATATGTCTGTTCACTAGAAAATAAATTGTAACATCTTGTACTTTCCATATTTATGCAGAAATAAATATATTATTATCATTGTGTTTGTTATTGTCAGGAGAAAGGTCATATGGAAGAAAAAAATTAATAAAGTAAAGAAAATTTAAGAATAATTAACTACCACATAAAAATATTTCTACTCTAACCTTAGTGCTTTGGATAATATAAACTTTTTAAATGTAATTTGTAAATATGACGTTCGACATAGAATTGACAGAATACGTGCTGCAAATATCGTCAAATAGGATGTAAAAAAAAATTCCAATTCAATATTTATAATTAAAACAGGTCTGTCGGGTCAGTTAGTATTTGATAAATCCTTTGATAAGGATAAATCGCTTTCACCACCAATGACGTTTTATTACTAGATACGTCATTGACATATGTACATTATTGCATTTAAAATTGCGTAAACTTTATTGTGGTAGCGTTACATTATAATCACCAGCCCTTTACGTCTCCACTGCAGAGCTCAGCCTTACCTTATGGATGGTTAAGGAGGATGGGCCATGACCCTCCACGCTGGCCCAATGCGGATTGGAGGGTATTAACGACTGCAAATGCAGCCGGGACCAACGGCTTAACGTGCCTTCTGAAGCACGGAACAGCTCGAGATAATAATTTTTTGGTCACCCATCCCGTGACCGACCCTTGCGAAAGTTGCTTAATGACTACGATCGCGGGCCGCGACGCTTATCCACTACGCCACCGAGCTACTAATACTAATACTAATCGATTTCAAAAGAATTGCCACGG